TATTTAATAGCTCGCTCGCTGGTCCTTCCTGCCATGACCACACTTTTTGCCAAACGATGACAATACATCAGCAAAGACTTCCGAACAGGAGCATGGGCCTTGTAGAATGATGTCCCATTTCTATAAAAAGTGTGCCCACAATGCCCTCCAAATGTGGCTCTCATTAAGCAGGGGCACACTTAATTGCACAATTCTGTTATCTGAGTTAAAAGACAAAAGAAGTTTGAGTGTATTCCATAACAAAATACTGCATGTAATTGGGTGGCTTAAAGAACAGAAATTTATTCTCACACAGTTCTGGAGGCTAGAAGTCTGGGATTAAGGCATGAGAGGTTGGATTCTTCTGAGGCCTTTGTCCTTGACTTGCAGACGGCCACCTTTCCTCTGTGCACCTGCATCCCTGCTGTCCCCGTGCCTTCTTAGAAGGATGCTAGTCAGTTTGGATTCGGGTCCATCCTCATGCCTCATTTTAACCTAACAACCCGTTCATGGGCCCTGTCTCTACACACAGTGGCATTTTGAGGTGTGAAGGTCGGAATCCAGCCCCGCAACAGTAAGGCCTCCCTGCTTCTTCTTGTTGCTGATGTTGAGGAGGAAGAAGGGAATGTAGACTAAAATTTCAGAGGGGTATAAAAGTATGAGAACTATCCTGAAGGTAGCAACTAGAACCAAGAATAAGAAGAAACATTAAAAGAACTGAAACCACTAAATCATCCTGAAATAGAAAAGGCTGCTTTTCTCTTATTAAAATCTGGGGTGACCCAAATACGCTCATCATACAACTCGGATGTGCAGGGAAAATATTTTTGCGTGTGTTGTCATCTTATTTGTTGCTGTTTGCTAGGCACAGAGAAGAAATGTAACTAAATGTCCAGGCCAACTTAAAGTTTAGTCCAAATCAATAGTTTAATTGGTCCCTTTTGGATCCTGCTCAGGGTTCCTTCTATTGGCTTCTCCCTCCCTCAAAAGGTATCTGAGTCTCTATGGCCCATGGTGTTGTCAGGGAGCAAGAAGGCACCTCGGCCTTGAACAGGTGCTTGGGGAGCAGCTGAGGGTGCTCAACCCTAGGGGTTCAGTGGCTATCACTGGTCAGCCCTTATCCTCCCACCTCTGACCCTTCACCTTACTTCAGCTCCTTCTGGAGCAAAGGATCCATCAGAGCTCTGCCCATTCTCCCTCTGCCTTCCTTAGGCAGTAGACATCAGGGCTATCTCACTGTGTTGATGGAATTTATTTCTGCAGTAGGTCCTTGATCTGGGAGATTTGAAGAATGAAGGACCACAGAGATCAGTGATAAGATAGAATTTATTAGATAGAAAGGAATAGAAGGAATGAAAGGCACCAGAGCCTCTAGCAGAGGGGGGAGCCCCAAGTGGGAGTGCCCCTGTAGGTCTTTCTGTCTAGGGGCTATATACTGTTTTTGTAAGTAGGGAGATCTTGAGAATTACCTTTGGCCAGGACTTGGCAGGTGTCAATGTTGATTAGCAAATGGATGAGTGTATTAACATATGAATGTAGTCCCTTCCAGCTCTGGGCAACATGGCAGGGAGTTCACTCCAGAAGAAGCCCAACCTACATGAAGTACTGGGGAAACTGCTTTTCTCCTCTCTTGCTTGTATTAAGAGAGTGCAGTTCAGAAAGAAAAGGTCTGTTTGCTTAGGCCTGGACAACAGGGGTCCTTGTCCAGCCCTGAATGGGAAAACCCTGGGTCAAGTGGACCTCAGATGGGACCATGGGGTGGCCCCTCTCACTGCCTGTTGTTTATTCCATGTTGACCACCTACCTTCTCACTTTAGGTCTCCAGAACTTACATCCTGCCTCCAGATTGCTCCTTCCAGAGTCGTGAAGAGGGAGCATAGCCCTGTCTTCCCTGTGCCTCTCAGCAATAGAGCAAGCCCTTCAGAGGGACATCAGAGCACACAACTCACACTTCCCTTCCTCGTAGCTTCCTGTCCTGGCTTCCTCTTCCCATAGTCCCCCAGGACAAGCAGAGGCAGCAGATTCAGTCACCTCCTCTGCTTGATGATTTCCTTATTCCTGACAACAGAATTGCAGCTCAACCTAACCCTGAACACAATTATCTTCTCTGTCTTCCAGGAGAAACTCCATGATCTCAACCAGCAGGGAGCTGAAGTGATTCAGAAAAACCGTTTCACTCCAGACCTAGCATTCAAGTCATTCTCTCACTGTGAAATGCAAGTGTCCATGTCAGGAACTGAACACTGACTCTCTTTCTCTTTGAATTCCTTTGGGAACCATTCTGATCACTTCCTTTCCCTCCCAAGATGCAAGGGTTCCTCTGCCACTAGGGAAAAATCAAAAAAGAAAAGCACATTAATCTCCCCAATTATTATCCCATGGCATTAGTTTGTGTGCTTCTTGATGGGCAGGGAGAATCCCCCAGAGCTTTTGTTTCGTGTTCTTTTTTTTTTTTTTGCAGTTTTTGGCTGGGGCTGGGCTTGAACCCACCACCTCCAGCATATGGGGCCAGCACCCTACTCCTATGAGCCACAGGCACTGCCCAGTTCATGTTCTTTTTAAAGAAGGGAAAAAGAAAGAAGGAAGGAAATTAATATTTCAAAGATTGTAACTAATTATTCCCTGATTTGAACAGAAATGGAATCAAGTTGACTGATGAGGAGCTACAAATAAAAAGGAAAAAGAAAATAAAATTTAAAAAACTGAAATGGGGAGTGTTTTTGAGTAGTATGAGAGGGCTAGACATGTCACCATAGGGATTTGGAATAGGAGGGATAAAATCAGAGGCCTCGCAAATCCCTTTCAGATCACACTCCTGTTCTCCTAATCTCGAGAAAGCTCAGGAGCTATGTTAGCACCATCTTCCCAGTGTGTGCCCTCAGGAGCCTGAGTTCCGCCTGGGCCACATGCAGCATGGTGGTGTCTACGAGAGCCAGAATATTACGGGACCAAGAAGTCTTTGGTTCTACACAGTGTCTGTGAAATTCATCATGGCAAGGCTCCTGATGCTCTGGAAATGGTGGGAGGCTTCTGGGAAGAAGAAAATCTTTCCATGGGGCCTGCGAGGCAGGATTCCTGAGAAAAGAGTCACGTGAGACAACAGATCCAGCACCTAGCTCAGGGCCTGGTACCTAACAACTTGTGAGTAAATGGCGGCTGCCACTATTTTTAATGAACCCAAAAAGAATACAGGAAAGGCAGGGTGGAAAAACCTGTAAGAGGATCCTCTGGTATATAAAATACCAAAAGATCACTTTATGTGTTTTTTCTCCTTCTGGGGCAAAGACGCCATTCTGAAGTGGCAGTCTGTGTTGTCAACAAAGAGCATCATGTAACCAAGACCATCCGGGTTTTTACTCAGAAAATGACTAGGATGTTTGACTCCCACACTGTAGGGCAAAGATCAGATGCTGAGGGCCCGCCCTTCTTCTGTGCTCTTATGACCCCAGAAAAATCAGACTCTGTAGGCTGAGTGATTCAGGGCAATGTATGCATGCTATTGAGTGGGAGGACTCTTAAGCCAAGAAGGGAAAATTTCCATTTTAACAGTAGCTCTGTAACTAGCATGTTAAAAAGAACAAAAGAGACAGAAATGACATAGACCAGAATCAGGAGCAGGAGAGTCAGAGGAGCCAGGAACCCGAGAAGTAGAGCTGAGGACAAAGACTCCTGTTAGAATCACGATCACTGAGATTCAGCAGCTCAAGAAATCTTTGCAGCCACCACCTCCCGGTCTCTAGATGAGGACACCGACTCCTGTTAGAATCATGATCACTGAGATTCAGCAGCTCAAGAAATCTTTGCAGCCACCACCTCCAGGTCTCTAGATGAGGAAACCGAGGCTCCTCAAGTCAGATTACTCACCCAAGTCTACAGTTCACAAATCTGCATCTCGTAGCTTCAATCTAGCACTTTTTTCGCATTCAGGGTTTGGAGAGCCAAGAAGTGGGGGTGGAAAAAAAAGGTCATTTCTGTCCAAGTCCCAAAACCCGTGATTGGCTTAGCTGGCAACATGCAGCTTTGTGAGAGGAAACTTGACTCCAAGAACTGCAGCCAGAAGTAGTCCTGGAGATGGAGGCCAAATGTTAAAACAACAGAGCTCGGGTTGAGCAACGGCTGGCAGAACGCCAGACCCCGGAAGGCAGCATATGCACCTGCTTAGGTGCCGGAGCTTGACGGGGCTGTGGCAGGCCCGACCCCCAGAGGTGAGATGCTGGGTGAGAGCGGAGTGGCAGGCTTTGGACTACAAACACTGTCCGAGTTTCTGGCTTTTCTGTGGACATTCTTTTTTCATTCCTTGCTGCCCGGCATCTAAATCCCCTTCCTAATTTTGAGCAACCCCCCAGTGTGAGTCAGGCATTCTTCTGGTACCAGGACCTTAAGAATTAACCAGAGGCAAGGGAACCCAGTGTAATTATGCTGACTCTTCTGCTTGTGAGCCAACACATATATAGTACAGAAGCTAAGAGATAAAATTCTTGCCCTCTTGTCCTTGGTTGCCAAAGAGACCATACAGGTTCAAGGGCACCACCATCCAGGATTCTGAACCATGCAAAATCATAGGAACAGCGATATTAGATCCACAGTGGTGGCCAAAGGTGTCTAACATTAAGATTAGTGTCCAAGGATGGGGACCTTGGTTGGCAAGGGTAGTGATATCCTGGCCACACTACAAGAACCATAACTACGTGAACCGTATAAAATTTGTAAGGCTGGGCATGGTGGCTCACACCTATAATCCTAGTACTATGGGAGGCTGAGGCAGGTGATTGGTTGAGCTCAGGAATTTGAGACCAGCCTGAGCAAGAGCCAGACCACATATCTACTAAAAATAGAACAACTGGAAGGGCATAGTGGCAGGCACCTGTAGTTTCAGCTACTTGGGAGGCTGAGGCAAGAGAATCACTTGAGCCCAAGAGTTTGAGGTTGCTGCAAGCTATGACGCCATGGCACTCTACCGAGAGTGGCAAAATGAGACTCTGTCTCTAAAACAACAACGACGACAACAACAACAACAGCAAAAAAGAAAAAACCAAAAAAACCCCCAAAGGATCACTTGAGCCCAGGATTTGAGGTTGCTATGAGCTATGATGACACCGTGGCACTCTACCCAGGGTGATAGAGTGAGACTCTATCTCAAAAAAAAAAAAAAAGGATTCTTAAGCTTTGCAACTAATCCCTTTGTATTTTTCTAGTCTCCTAGTTTGTTTTTCTGGAATTCTTAGGAAGACAGCCCTTAAAAGAATAAAGATACATAGTCGTCCTTGGGGACAGCTAGAGTGAGCTCTTACTCTGTGGCCATTTTGAGATAGAATGGAGGAGCTGGTTTCTAAGCCTGCGGCTCATGCCTTCTCACTGATTCTATGAGCAACCTTTCCATCAATTCCTTTCCTGCCATTTTGGCCGGCATCCAACCACAGATCCCTGCCCGATACCTGTACAGACGCCATTTCTCACCTACAGCAGGAAAGCCAAGAAGTTTTAGAAGCCAGCACTCACTTCAACTGTGAATCTTACAAGGCAGAAGATGTAAGAACACATATGATAGAGGGTTTTAAACAGTTCACAACAGAACACATTCTGGGAGAAGCCGCCTTGTATGAAACTGGGAGAGAGATCCGGCTGGATGGTGTTAATGGTGCAGCCCTGCTGCTCTCCCTGTGTTCAAGTTGAAGGTTTCAAAGAGGTAGCCAAGGGACAGAATGCTTGGAAGTGACTGGGTTTACTTGGACTTTGAAATGTCAGGAAGAAAAGGGGCTTTGACTCCTTTTAAAAAGTGACATTATATGCTAAAGGTCTGGTCTGGTCTGGATTATAAAATCTGCACCAAGGACTTCCTCAGTTCCATAAACAATGAAGCATTGACTGGGAAAGGGAGTTTGACTTGACCTTGTTTCCTGATTGGAACAAGGAAGGCCACCCTGGGATTAGGAAGTTGCAGAGAAATACTCTTCTCCCTGCTCTGCCCTGATCATGAGAGAGGCAGAAGGGAAGCGCGCACGGTGGGGGTGGGGAAATACCCTCTCATCTTCTCTTGAGCTATTTTCTGGGGCTCAGGCCTTGGGCTCCTTTTTCCTTCTTTGCAACAAGCCCTCGGGACTCATCCTATTCCTATTTCCTCTTGAAAGTTGCCCCCTCCCCAGGTCTTGGAGTTCTCATTGTCCCTCCATTCTACCCCAATATGGCTGCAAAGTAAGATCTCATTCTAGCTGTCCCCAAGGATAAACACATATCTTTATTCTTTGAAGGGTTCTCTTCTTAAGAATTCTAGAAAAACAAACAAGGAGGACTAGAAAAACACCAAGGGCTTGGTTGCAAAGCTTAAGAATCTTAATACGGTTCACACGGTCATGGTTCTTGCATGCCGAGCCAATACTAACTGTAGCTATCACTTACAGGCATTTATTATTTACCAGGCACTGGGCTAAGACTTTCAGCAGGTGTTATCTCATTGTATATTCCCAACAACCCTGTGCATTTTAGTAATGGAACTGAGACCAAGAGAGATTAAGGAGTTTTCCAAGGTCACGTGGTGGTCAGCGGCAGAACTGGAATTTGAACCTACATCTACCTGACTCTGTGTCTGATGCTCTTGTTTTTAATTTAATTTAATTTTATTTGTGTAATGCTCACTTCCATTCCTGTCCCCTCTCCTCATCCCTTCTTCCCATTATAAGTAATAATTTTTATTAATTTCTGATTTTAAATTTCAGATTAATTTCTAGTGCTTCTTCCTTTTTTTTTGAGACAGAGCCTATGTTGCTCTTGGTAGAGTGCCATGGCG